GGGGCTGGCCGGAGCAAATTACCCTGCCCTCAGGAGGCTGCTTTGCACGTGCTCGGGGGCTGCCCCATGCATTCCATCACCAAACCCATCTGCCCCCAGCCTCTGCCTTTGCAAGAAAATAACTTCACAGTGTTAAAAACATTGTAATATCTTTTAGGTCACTTGTGACTGTACAGTCAAGGGTCCCGAAAGTAGCTTAGTCAGAAAATAGGCTCTTTTAACTATTTTGTTAGCCAAGGGCTAGTTCCCCAACTGCCCAGGTCTTCTGTCTTCAAGGCAACTTTGTCTGGGCCTCACCTTCACACTCAGTTTGGAAATCTGACTCGGATGCCCGTGTTACTTTTCTTCTAGCTCCAGCGTGCTACAGGGTTGGATCCTACACCCTTTGAAATCAGATACAGTGTTGCCAGACATGTCTGAATTATTCCTGATGTTTTCATTTCTTTGATGCTTGCTTTTCTTTATTTAGATAAGTTCTGGTAAAATGATTCACCTGCGTGTAGAAGTATGAATGGCAGATCGAGTGCTTGGCAACCTTGACTTTCAGAGCATTTTAAGGAGTTGATTGACTTCTATAATATGGTAGCTGGTAACAGATTATACCTTTCAGAGCTGTGTTACCTGAACTTGATCAACATTGCACAATGGTTTAAATATTATGAAGTGCATCTCCAGCAGACAGGGCCTGCATCGGCCTGAGGAATGGGCGTTCTAGCAGAATGTAAATATGAGGAGTAGAATGGTCTGACTTAGTCTCTGAGAACAGCCTCTGAGTAATGGGGAAGGGGAAAAACAGAAGGTAGTCACATATTTCTATCTGTTTGAGGTTGTGTCGATTTGAGTTAAGTGTAACATCCGGAATAATTCACTGTAGCGAGGATGAGTGCTTTAAATCTTGGTGTGCCAAAAACCTCTGGGAGGAGGAGAACTACAGCATAAAAAGAAATTACTAAAGTGGGCTAGAAACAGCCCATCACGAGCAGAATCCCACACCCAGAGAAGATTAAGAAGGACTTCCCTGCACTTCACCATATGCAAGATCACGCTTTAAATTTCATGTCATCGTAAATGGTTGGTTAGCAGGACTCTGGGTAGATGTTATTTCTCTGCTAAATTCTCATCCAGCTCTTACAGAGAATCCTTATTAACTCAGTTAGAAAGAACGTTTTGATGGAGGCAGGGCTCATTTTATGTCTTTTGATAGAAAGGAGGGTTTACAAATTCACAGGAGAACCGTCACCCTTATGTGGAATGAAAGTCTGTCTGTGCGCAGAGATATGCATGTGCACTTCAGAGCTGAAAATCCGGTCTTGTTTTCAGGCACTGGCATGCATCTTTAAAGCAGAGGCACTGCTGTGATTCGGGGCTGAGCAGTGCCTGTAACTGATGCTTAAGTTCATTGCGAAGAGCAGTAAGTGGAAGTGCTTTGAAAAACAGGAGGTAAAATATTAATCTTTTACAGAAGCACTTGTAATGCCGTAAACTTAGCTGATTTTTTTAATGATTATAGGATATTTCAGCCTGACCATATATGCCTACCTGTTGTCCAGATTGTGCTTGGGAGTTACACAGCCAGAACTGATGCATGCTGGGCTCCAGACAGAAACCGGAGCTGATTTCTGAGAGCTGTACCCAGTGATGTTTTGTCTTCTCTCACTCTCTGACTGTATTTGTGTGGATGGTTTGTTTTCATCACTTTGTCAGGGTTTTTTTTGCTCAAGCATTTCTTAAGCAGGCAGAGCATTTGCTTTACTTTCAGTGTGGGAATGAGTTAGGGAATCTTTGACAGTGAACAAGGAATATCAGCTGTATGTTTTCAAAGCTGGGTATGTTTTTCTGTAGCAAGGAAGGATGTCCCAGAATATTCCCTTCCTGTGGCCATGACCCTAAATCCCCACTCTCCAGTACATAAATAATTCACTGCTGGTAGTACCACTCTGTGACCCCTGTTTAGCCCTCAGCGACAATAACCGTTGCACTCTCTGCTGACTTAGGAATACACAAATTGGAAACAGTTTATAGTTTGAAGCTAGGGTTTGAAATGTTACCAGTTGCAGCTGAAGCCCTCCTGTGCAAGCCAGAGGGAGGCAGGGGCAGCGTTGGCCCTGGGGCAGTGGTGGAAGCCCAGCCGTCCTCGTGTAGCTGCTGAGACGCAGCGCTGGGATTTCTTCCTGCAAACTAGCTCTGTGTCCTGCTAAAGGGCCATCTTCTGTGTCTGCACTCGCGTGGAGTGTGCCCAGTGAGTGTTTTGGCTTTTGAAAGGGAGAAGGGAAACAAGCACCTTCTGCTCAGAGCACTTCATGTTACCCTCCCTGCTCCTAGGACATCTTTGTTGCAACAGAGGCAAGATATTTGTGCTACTCTTCTTTCACCTCTGCCTTTGCATCCCCAGCTCCATGAATATCAACAGTGACTGTTTTTATAAATGAACATCCTTTTCCTCCGTGGAGGCCACAGTTAAATTGATCAACTTCTTGCCATTTTTACTCTACAGCTCTGAATTTCAATGAGGAATCGGAGGAAACGGATCTGTTTGTCCACAGATCCAGGAAGGCTGCGTGTGCTCTTTTGCATGATGCTTAAAATGCAGGAGGTTTTCTCTTCCTGCAGGCTGCATCTCACCACAGCTCTTGGGTCCTGGGGGTGCTAGGGGGGTCACTGGACAGCAGCTAGTTTCAGCCCTCTTTGCTGACAGTGGAGCTTGTGAACCCCACCTATCTCTAAACTTAGTTCTTCAAACTGTGACCACAGCTGGCTCGTTCAGTTCTGCTCTCCATTGGGGTGTGTTACTTGAGCCCCATACAATCAAACTTCATACCTCCCCAGGGCAGGGATAGTGCTGTGAATGCGCGCTTGGCCATAGGGACTGGGTAGAAGATTTTCCCTGGATCTGCCACTGCTTTTCTTCTCTTTCCCCTGGTTTGTTTTTATGCTCTGCTTTTTTTTACTCCACTCTCTCTCATTCATCTGACTTACTCATGTGCCTTTCATCTGCTCTTTGCCCTGCTTTGTATTGTTTATTCCTGAAGGTTTCTGAGTCTCTTCTCCAAAGCGTCCTGGCCTTCCCTCAGTGCACGGAAGATAGGTTCACAAGCATATGCCAGACTTGATTAAGGTAAAACAGAAAAAAGCACAATCTTGTGATCTCAGAGACGTTACTCACTATTAGTTCTTCTGCTTGAAACCAATACCGTACCTTAGTGTAGTTGGGGTAACTCCCGGGCAGGGCGAGGACCTGAATCTTGTCCTGTTGCATCGATGAGTTGCCCATTCCCAGCTAGCCAAATCAAGGCAAGGAGGTAGCCAGCACCTGCACAAAATATTTTTCCTTTTGCTTCATTTACATTTACTGGGAAAGCTTTAGTCTGAAGCTCTGGACACAGTTTGCATGGTTTGGTGACTGCTTTTTTTCCCCATGCTTTCTTCTCTCCTGGATTTGGTAGCAGCACGGAGGCTGCCTGGCTGCAGATTTCCACGAGCTGCTTCTGAGTCCTCCTT